TGACACGCTTCAAACGGTCATCGGTCTAAATCAGACACTTTTTAATGATGATGATGATGATAATTTTCTGGTGGAAATACAAGTCAAAAGCCTTCTTACAATATATAATACTTCAGAAATAAATACAGATAAAACTTGAAATATTAGCATGACCGGAAGCCATAATCAACTGAGACTGTTTCAGTATCGAACGAACATCAAAAAAGGAGCAGCGAGGTTCATGACTAAATTATGGAAATACTTTCAGATTAATGATTTTACATGGAATGCGTTCTTCTGTGTTGTAACACCGTGTAGTCTTGCATGTGGAACGTATGTTCTCAATCTTATGGGTGGAAGTGGGCGAGGATCATGTCCAGGGGCAGATTACACTACCTTAAAGCGTTCTTCCGTCAGTCTGTTCTTCTCATCTCTCAGCTCGTGCAGTCTCTTGGCATGTCTCGCCAACTTCTGCTGCGCATCCTCTAGCACACGGCGGGTCTTATTTACCTCTGATTTCACCTGTTCCTGCTCATTCAGGGCTTGCTGCATGCTTCGTGATGATTCTGCAATTACAAATCATAATTAGATTTGAAATGATCATTCAGAAGAATTAACTCCAGAAAGCAGTCCTTCTTGGAAACTGACAGTCAGTTAGCTAGTCAGGAAAATCCCAATGTTTAATGGAACCTGAAGATTCACTAGTCTTCACAAGAATCTGCCACTCGTCGCTGTACTCGGCCAGACGAACGCGGTCCACACCTTCCCACCCTCTTTCATTAAGAGCCATTTTAACACAATCTTCCCAGGTTTTATAACTAAAATTCTGTAATCTTTCCCATGCATGCTACATGCCCCATCAACCAAATTCTCGTTGATTTAATCATCCTAATAATATTTGGTGAAAACTACGAAGCTCCTCATTTGTCTCTGCCCCCTCTTACTTCCTCTGTCTTAAGTCAAGATATTCTCCTCAACACTCAATCCGCGTTCTTTCGTAGGGTCACAGACCGAGTTTCACACCCATACAGATTTTAAATTCAGAAAAGAACACAGGATAAAAGGCTCACTCATTCAAACACCACTATCTTTCAACATGCAGCATTCCCACATGTAATGATCACTCCTAACAAACTTTGACGACAGTTCATCATTACAAACTTGGATAGTGTGTTGACATGTGCTGTTGGCAAAACATCACGTTCTAGTCACTTGTAAGAAAAAGACTGACAAGAAAATCAATAACAAACTGTTCCTTTACACTCCCCAAAAATCTTACTGCGTCTGCTCACATCTAACAGAAACGGAATTTGTACGAATGCCAAGCGAAGTTGCCGAATCACACTTGATCAAGCGTAAATGTTAGCAGATGCGTTACAGTAAACACGTGTTCAGCTTACTTCCTGCCGGCAGTTTCGCCTCCAGTCGCTCGATGTCACGTTGCAAGTTCTGGAGCTCCATGTGATGCTGGTCCAGCAGCACAACATCTGGCTGTACTTTTTCCGCTATCTCCTTGTCGGTCTGTGGCCCCATCAGTGACGACTCCAAGTCGTCAACATCGATCCTCAGGTTACTGAGCTTCTTTTCAGTCTCTTCCAGTTCAGTCCTGGAACACAAAATGGAATCAATATACATTTGTACAGCGTCTTAGAAATTATTACAGTATTTATAATGCTAAATAATGGATGTTATGACTGGGTTTGTTATAGTCACATCCATTATTCATATCAGTCATTTGTCCTCATTTAAGTTTGCATCTAAAATTAAAAGTGAGTTTTACATTAAAACTTACAAATCGTTATAGTAGTCAAAGATTAAGTTGGTCCTATGCTCCATCTTCAAGGCGCAGGTATAACCACGTGGTCAGACGCATTCTCCGGTCACTTTACCATCAAAGACAAAGTAAAAGGTAACCATCAGAGAGGAGACAGGGTCGCAGAGCCGGTCTGGATGCTGGGAGGATCCAGGATGCGCACTGCCTTTCCGTCAACCCTGTGACCTCCCACTACTGCTCATACTCACGTTCAGTGCTCCTCTCATCGCGTGACCAGGCCTTACGCGCCATTCTCCGGAATTTTTGAGTCTCTCTCTTTTCTGTGTTTTATTATTGTGTAATCGTTCTGTATTACCGGTGGATACATTAGCGCTGTTTGTATCTCTAGCCTCTGGCATTTACATATTTATGTCCTAGTACAGGCAACACGGAGTTTTCCTCCGTGGCATCCCAACAATTACTCCATTCACACACAGAAGAAGGCAATGGCAAACCACTTCTGGATCATCTGCCAAGAACGTATATGAACAGGTCCCAGTCCGAGAAAAGGATGGAAGGATCCTGTTCATATGGATTTGTCGTCAAGACAGAACACTAATAATAATAATAAAAAACAGTTGTGTTTACCGGTTTCTGACAAAGCGTCTTTCCCTGGGACAAGACTGAACAGCGTTAGGGCATGTACATTGGGTTGTACTAAGTTTATCCTTACCCCATCCACTGTACAGCGGTGAAAGGAGAAAAATCCCTGCGTCTGTCAGGGATCAAAGCCCAGTCATCCAGGATCTCAAGTCATAACATGGTTTTGATAATACCGTGCTGTGGAGGTTCTTACGATATGAACGTACCTGAGGTTTGGAATTTCAGTGCTCTTACACGTGACAATGGATTCATAGGCCGGCTTCAGTTCCAGCAACTTCTCATATTTCCTCTTCTCAATGTCCAGCTTCTTGTTGTTTTCACGCAGACGAGTTGGGACCTCATGAACCTTGCTGTTTAGCTGTTCCAAGGAGAGCAGGTTAATAGGAACAACAGCACACACGATGAAATGAAGAATGATTTGAAGTTAAAACGAGTTGAATGTAAAGCAGATACATTCCAACCAAAGAAGTACCGTATTCATTTGCTACAGCACTTCCTTCATGTACAGTTTTCAGCATGTTCAGGATCGGTAACTCGGCGTTATACGCGCAAATCTCAGATTCTACAGAAAAGAAATGATACATCAAAACAAGTGAAGATGCAGGAGTTTGAACCTCACCTCGTTGACAAGCTCTCGCACATCGTCCTGCAAGTCAAATCCCCTGTGACAAAGAGGACAACATGGATCTGGTTGTTGCAGTTTTTGGATGTAACGGCGAAATAAATACTCAGAAGATGACAGTGTGCCCTTCTGGTCCTGGAAAGAATTACATTTCAAGTGTGGTCGGATACAGACAATAACGACGCTACAATGCACGTAGTCTAACATCTATATAAATGTGTTCCAGATTTATTCATAGCATCAAGGAGGTTTTCCTTGTTATAAAGGAACACGGTTATCTAGGTTTTACTCTATATTAAGATTCTTTTACCTAATTATTACCAAATCCTAATTGTATCTCTTTCAAGCCTGGGAAAGGGGAGTTATGATACATACCTGCAACTCTTGGACATTTTCTTCAGAACGCTTCACTACCTCGTCGTAGTCCTGATTTCCGCACGCTTCAAATATCATATCTTCCTTGACTGAAAACAAAATCTATTATTGATGAAGTTCAGTGTCTTCACACCATAAGTTTGTCATCCTCCGACACAGTATGAATGAAATGGGATATGCGTCTTTCAGATGAAAAAAATTGAATTAAATCTGCATGGAAGAAGTTGGGGAAAAGCACAAAAAGTTTCAGTAAGGAGTGCTGATCTCAGGACCAATATTTTAAACTGAGTCCACAGACCACTAATGACTATTCCAGAGAATTCATTCCAATCAACACAAAGATTATTACTGTATTTTTCCTGAACAGCTGAACAAGTTTAATTTCCCAACAAACCTCTTAAATCATCTTCTCGCCTCCTTAGTCCTTCTTTTTGGTGTTTGCGGTTTGTTTCTAGAGTGGTCAGCTCTCGGTGTTTGCCGCCCAAACTGCGAGTCATTTCTCGGATGTCCTCGGCCTTGAAGAAACAGGAAATTAAAATAATTACTCAATAGTGAATATCATGCATGTAAATAAATGTGTTAATACTGTGCTGAACAATGGTGTGCTTTTGCCTTGTCATGCCTTTAATTAAATGTACTTTCACAACTCCATTGCCAAATACAAGGCATAAACTGATGCTCTGGTGGCCCACGATGAACGACGCATTCAGAGCAGCAGGGGGCGAACTCTCTATGGTAACAGGAAGCTGAATCCATGGCTTGATCCTCCAGTTGACACTCTGCCTGCATCACCCTTTGAGCTGACTTTGAGGCTCGTTTATTCAATACTTTGTTTTGGCAAATTCACCCGTCACTCTGAATGCTTCTTATGCCTATGACTTCAGCACATAATCTCTGATCCGAATGCCACCTTGTGCTTTGTCTATGCACTCTTTGCACAAAGCACGCAAATAACCACAACCGCCGAGCCAACTAAAATGAACTGCAAACGACTTACCAGTCGATCTATACAAAGCTTCAGTTCATATTTGATTCCTTGTTCAGGAACGGTTTTCAATAGATGCTTCAATGTCTCTTCATTCTTGTTCTTTCTGTAATAACAAACAAAGAAAATATAAAAATGGTGGGGTGACAGTACATAACCTTTCTGCGATTATAGTAAATTCCAAAAAGTACAGGAAATCTGTGGCACATGATCAAGCTAATCTCCTGTGCTCTCATTTCAACACTTCTGAAGCCACAGAGCGTTCCCTCGCCCTCTCAAACACCACGACAGCCGCAGATCAGTCTTTCAGCCGAGCTGTCGCGACGCGATAATCTAACGGCAAGGATTCGCATCAAGATTCGTCAACTCTGCCAGTTCAACTTCGCGTCTCATCAAAACTTATCTAGTGACATGTGTAATAGCAGAGAACGCTCACACGTTCACTTACAGTTTGCGTATTTCAGACTCCTTCGCGGACTTGCTTTCTCTCATCAGGTCCAGCTCTGCCTGAACGCAGCTTTGCTGCTGCAAAAGTTTCACCTCTTTATCGACCTCCTCCAGTTGATACTCCAACCTTAAACAAAAATACAACATACACACAATTCTGAAACCTATGAAACTAGATTTATTTGGACCACACACTTCAAGATGTTTGTGTCAGTTTGCTAGTCGCCGTATGAGCTTCAAATATCCAGGAAAGTTCCTGCCGAACATACTACTTCTTCCGTGTCCTTCCCAATTCCGATTCAGCGACCACCTTGTCATTTGACGCTATACAATCCGAGCTACTAAAAGGGTTGCCAAATAAACAAAGATACATCTTCTTTTAAACCAGAGAAGAGATAACTTGAAACAGTCTCACCTATTCCGTTTATCTGTAGCTTGTCGTATTTCTTTTTCAAGTTCATCCACATTCACAGATTTTTCCACTTGCTCTAGATCTTGAACGGCTCGTTTCAGTTTTGCCTCGATATGATGAAGTTTACTTGCGGACAAGCCCACCTAAAAAAGTAACGGTAAGAAAACACAGACGTCAGAGCATTTACTAAAGAATGTGTATGTGAGAGCAAAGAACACATATGACTAAAAACATACCTCCTCTAGTTCTCCCTTTATCTTTGTTATTTCTTGTTTAGTTTCTTGCATTTGCTTTGCTTTAATATTCATTTGTTGTTCCAGGGACACCTTCTCATCCCTGTAAAAATATCAATAAACATAACAGAGCAGTCTTTGTGATCCAGTGTCGAGTGAGAATCGTACCACAATCTGCCGAACTGAAAACAAATACACTAAGTAGTTTCAGGTCAGGAAATATGAAGAGGACGACGGTGGTGTTTTAATGAAAACTTTCAAAACTCTGACAAAAGGCCATTTCACACACAAAGAACATTTGTACCTGGACATTTCTAACATGTAATAAAAATCACAATTACAAAACGTGTTCTTGCATGGAATTTTGGGTATTCTCGGGTCACTTTTTGAATACTAAGGAATGGAAGTTTCATATTAAAATGCTTCAAAATTACTGAATAATAGGAAATAACTAAAATCTTACAAGAATGAGTGGTAAGAAGAAAACATTCCACATTCAATCAGAATATGGCAGGTACAGTAATCTTTTACGTTCATTTATAACATGACAAACCAGATAATGTTCAACACGAAGGTTAACTTTACTCGTTAACTCACCTGTAGCCGTCAATTTTATTCTGCAACTCTTGTTCTTCTTTTTCCAATTGCACTTTCAGTGCTTCAAGAACTTCTTGTGATGCTTCCATTTTCTTGTTCACGTGACCCAAAACAGTGTTCACTTCATCTTCCGAGAGCTGGGTGTACGATATTCCTGTTGAGGCTGACGAAAAAAGACACGGAACATCATACCATACTTGATTAAAATCAGTCAAATGGTCCACAATATGGTGATGTCGCAATTCTACTTAATTTCCCTAATAAAAGTAGACTAAAAGCGATCCTGAGGACTATTTTCCACTGAATTGTTGCTTTCCATTTTTGTTTCGTCTTATTCTAAGTAATGTTACACCGGATGTCATAATATCCTTGAGAATGCAAACATTTTCCATTGAACAAAGCTTTTTGTTTCACACAGTTCCTGCTGTACTGAAACTGGTTTAAACAATGTTTGAACTTTCAAGAATTAGTTGGTAGAACTGGACGATAGCGTAGTTCTAGAAAGAAGAACATAAAGCATTCTTCGACAAACTTTTCTCCTTCAGTTATGGTCTTATCAGTCTTCATCGCCTCTGCCTGCTTTGTTTAAAGGAACCTGTGTCTGGGGCGAGAAAGTACATGGGGCAGGTTCCGCTAGACTCAGCGGCAGAATGACGAGAACGTCGTCATCAGTCACGGGGGACTTCAGTTTGACACGAGTGAAGGCAGTTATGTGCATTCTCCTATTTACTCACATATTTCCAAGTCTCCAGTGAGTCTGCTGAGCAGTTTATTCCTGGAATCAATCCTTTTCTGCTGCTGCTCCATCTCCTTCTCCAACTGTCCTTTCTTAACCTCTTCCCGAGTTATATCTCCCTGCAGCTTTTTGTCCTCAACCTGAAGACGGCTTAATTTTGATTCCAACTGGAATCACACACAGTCCGTCAATATTCTGCTCACTAGAACTGGGTGTAAAGCGAGAAGTTCAAAGGTCATCATTGTGAATTAATTTTGGAATAAAATAATTCACACTGATGACTGATGAAATCCCATTATAAATTTGACCAGCATGAGAAATAGAGGTTTAAGAAACGATATGGTAACCTCACGCAGAATGTTGGAACACCAAATGAGGCCCCTTGATATTAAAAGAAGACAATATACTTACATCATTGCGACGAACTTCCTTCACTTTCATTTCCATATGGAACCTCTCAATGAACGCCTCCAATTCACTCTTTGTACCCTTAAATTTACTTTGTATATTGTTTTCCAATTCAAGCTGAGCAGCTTTCACGCCCTTAAATTCGGTAACCATTTTCTCTGCATCACGTTAATTCCACGGATACATAAAAAGAAGGAAGATTCGTAAGTACACAAAACAACTTTTATTATCGGTCAGCACTCGGTAACACACTAGTAAATAGAAAGAAAACACTTTACTTAGCTGCAGTGTTTGAGTGAATGAACACAAGAATGTTAGATTACTTCAGTACAAATAGAGAAACCCCATGGGTTTGTATTCTAAGTAACACTAAAACACAAAATCAGTACAAATAGAGAAACCCCATGGGTTGTTTTCTAAGTAACACTAAAACACAAAAGAGTTCATGAATTCAAGATAGGTAGATGCACATGTACACACCTTTCTCTGTGTACAGCGTTGTGATATCAACTTCTCGTTTGTGGATCATATTTAAGCGCTCAGTAATTGGTTGCAGCGTGTTGTTATACCTTTCAATCTGGTCTCTGGTCACGTTCATACGGTTAGTTGCATCATCAAACTGTCTCTTCTTTGAGACTGCCTCATCTTTATTTTTTGTCAAATGTCCAATGTCATTATTTACCAGTTTCAAATCTATTTAACAGTGAAATGAAAACCACATGTAACATGCAAACCAGAAGGTTTCCCTTATACATACTGAATTTTGTTTGGCGGAAAGTAAAAACCTTCAGTTTCTTTTATCATATTAAAAATATCCATTTCGCAGTCTTTCTGATGTTCATACTCTACTGAAAAACCAGCAAATCTTGTTTTTACCCTCTAATGTATGGCTTTTGTATACATGACACAATAAGAAATTTTAATCTCGGATGGCAGATAACGCAGATTACGAATTTACAAAATAAACCACTCTAACCAATCTGCCGTGCAATGTCTCTAAAAATGTCTGATGTATCTTTTAGTACATTTCATTATACAGGTATAATGAGTTAGAGCAAAGGGAGAAAAGCTGTATGAGAACAAAAGAGGTTCAGTTCTTCTACGGAAATGAAGGGGACTGCACAAGTAAATACAATGTTTAGGTATTCTGCAGATTTTCCAAATACTGTTGCCCAGCGCAGAAGAACACCGCAGTGTTTGACAACAGATTGTTGCAAGTGAATGACATGTGATTCAGACCAGTCAGGGGGTTACTACGGCTTTATAAATACTACTTAAAATTAATGAAGACGTGACAATTTACCATCAGCAATAGCCTTTTTCTTTAGTCGTATTTGTTCTAAGTATTTGTTGTATTTGGTTGCGTCAAATATGTCATCAAACCTCTCTTTCACTTTCTTGCCTTCATCCAGTGGCCTGTAACAGTGACACACATGAAACATGATCTTGCAGCTTTAAATGACGTATTACAGGATAGTTTCCCCACTGGGGAAATCCTTAGTATACCAAGTAACAATCACAGCAGGCAGTGGATCTACAGCCATACATTCAGGAAAATCCTCGTCTGGCTCCGATATTTCGCTCACTAATATTCTTGTACTGACATTAAAAAAGTGTTCCGAGAAGCGCTACATTACGCATACTGCTGATCACTCGTGTCAGCAACACCTACAATGTGTCCCATGGAGTTTATTACAGCCAAGACAGCTCAAAGCTCATCTAAATTAAATATTTTCAGCAGTTTACAGCTTTGTTTAAAGCTATGAAAGATCTGAATGCATCTAAAACCTGCATTTTCACCATAACGAGTACTTCTCCAGAAGCGAGACGCAGTTCTGTTAATGTGCAACTCACCACGCAGCGTCTTCTTGATGGCAGAATATGACATTGTTCAGAATTGACTTTGACACACCAAGGGCAGTACACACCTCCATGTCAATATCAACACATCGCCCACTTATGTCTGCACGCTGAACAGAATACATATAAATGAGACAGTTTATATTTTGACGTAAATACGTCTATACGGAAGGGTCATTCGGCATAAACAGCGTAACGAAGATGTGTAATATCCATATCAACAATGTGTAAATATGGACCAACAACGGTCAGCTTTTATATGAACTCCTGAGTGCATTGTTATGTTACCTAAGAAACTAATTGTTACATCATCTGTTTACTCAGCATTACTGCCGTCAACAACCAGCTTTCGTTATTGTGGAAAGAGCTGAGCTGTTAATCGCTTGTAGAAGAAGAGGCAATTATTGCAAGTCAATGCTTCCACATCATTAGCAAGTACAAGCCTTCCTACAAGAATCGGACAACCAAGGTATGACAATGCAACAGAATATTTTCATAAGAATTTTAATGAAAATAGAGTCTGTAATACAGAATATATGACACAGTACAGAAAACTTAAAAAAATAGAAGTATTAAATAATGAACCTGAACGTTTGTTCCCAAATATACAGAGATGTTTTCAATTATGGCCACAGAAGGTCGTAAAACAATGCCTATAATATTGACAGGAGATTTTAACATTAATTTAAAGAAGGAGGAAAATCAAAGCTTTGTCACATTTATGGAGGAAACATTTGGCTTAATGTTGATGTCAAATCCTCAATGTAGTACTACACTGTCTATATTACCGTCTTCTGAGTTGTAGCACCGTGTAGGACCTGTGCAATGTTGGTAAACTTCTGCAAGACTACACTACAACCTAGAAGACAGCTATCTTCATGTTCCACATGTCTGTCTAACCACTTAAGGAACCTACCTGACCATCCTGATTCATTCTACTCAGAGTGGAATCTTTTGTTTTGAATTCCAATTTCTTCGCCTTCTGTGTCAGCTGCATTAAACGTGTCACGAGCAGTTTGTCACCTCTAAGATCTGTGAACTGCAGCTGTATACGAGCATGAGTCTGCAAACAAATACATTACTTTGTAACGGGAAACAGGAAATGCGTTAGAGAAATAGGAACTCGGAGGCTGGTAATACGAGAGGAAGAATTCCAAGAATGAACCACAGTCGCCAAAATCTCTTATCAGGAAAAACTAGACAGACAGAAATGTTACAATGTGACAGCAGGAAGAGTTGTCAGTCAGCAGAACCAAATTTTAATATGGACATCTAAATGAGAGACCCAGGTTTTACCTTTTTAATTACTGCATATTACCCGCCTGTCTTCTGGGAAATAAAAATTTATTCTGCACAAAGTCTGACATACTGTGGAAGAAGAGTCTTAACCATCCCTAAATAGCTGTAAAACTTTGACAAACAGTTTACAGTTACCTAATTACCCATCATACCACAATCTTACACAGATGTGACTCTATTATTTGAGACAACTTACCTCCACTTTTCTTGATAACTTTGGATCATGAACAAATAATTGACCCTGTTTAGCTCCTGGAGGCAAGTCGCCTGATACTGCATATTTCAAAGATTCAATTATGGTAGTCTTACCACACCCATTTTGCCCAAGTATGAGTGTAAGAGGAGAATGAAACTTTATACGCTGAACATCTGTGTCTTCTGGGCCGAAACTTCGGATCCCTTGTATTGCAATCCTCTCCAAGCAAGCCATGAAGCTACTAAAGGAAATGAAGATAGCATAGAATCAAAACATTCTAACTTGAACACTTTATTTATTTATTCTTAATTAATGACTTTCTGTAGCTTAATTAGATTATAAGTGTGTCAAATAATAGGATAATTACCGAATAATGAATTGGAAAAATGAGGTAGGAACTGACCGTAGTCTAACTTAGGAAAATACAGGAAATCGAGAAGAAGTCACTACGATCTCCAGTTCGAGATTTGAACCGGAGCCGCCTGATTACGTAACCAGTGTTAACCACTCTGCCGCGACTTCATTACGTAACAGCCTCCAACTATCCTATCACTTTATATTTCACACCTCCCCACGTGCTATATTATATTACTTCATCAGACTTGCAGGCTAAATTCCACAGCACAAACAGTAGGAAAAACTGTGACATTCAAAAAAACTAATGTAATATCTGGTAGTACCTTTCACTTGTTAAATTCTCAAAATAGTACTCGTCATATATCACATCTGAACGTCTTTAAAAGACGACACAAATTAGTTTTTGCACACCTCAATTTAAAAATCGTATCAAAACCATGTACTTCATAAAATAACCACGGAGTCCATTAACCAATACAACCCTCAGCGCGCCAACGTAGTGAATGCTTAAACAACAGTTCCCGCCAGTGTTACTTCGATGAGTCATACCATTGAAATAAACTAATTTTCCCTTATGGTCATTTGCTTTTACCGCACAAAAACAACTTCGGCCTTCGGATATCGGTCGCGTCGTGTGTTGTTGTCCCAAAGTTTCGACATACATTCAGTTGCCATCTTCAGGGGGAAAACAACGCGGCTAATTCTCAGGATATTATTAAACTCTTTGCTTCCCATTTGACGCCATTTAACGTTAAAATTTGTTTTTATATATCTTACAGGTTGTGCATATACCACAGAAATCGAGAGTACGAAGAGCCATGGAATAGAACTTCGTTCTTGAATCTTTGACCTCCAGGCTTGAACTTCGATCTTGTATACAAAGCGATTTAAATCCCCGGTAGCCATATTGATTGCTTGTGTAATGCTGTGAATCAAGAAATTTATCCGGCAACATCGAGCTCAAATTGTGTACTGAGGTAACACACAGGACTCAGTGTTTTCACGGAATTGTCAGTGAATGTATCTAGTTAACTCTGAAAGTAGCAAGTATTGAATAGACTTGGACATAGACAACGGACTTGGTATTCCTGTTCAGTCGCAACCGTCAGAGGAAGGAGGAAGATGGCTTGCGCTACCTTAAAAAGAACGCTGGATTTCGACCCAGTTCATAATCACGGAAGACCATCTAAACGTCGGCGATGTGTTCCTATGTGCATGTCTCCAAACACGCCACCAACAAAACAACACGAGCTTAATCCATCGCCTTTTGGAGAAGTTTGCCCCAAGTTGACACCTGGTAATTATTTTAAATTTCGACAAATGTCACCAGTGTTCTAAAGAAAGAAAACCAACCACACGGGGATATAATTTACGTAATTATATTTTCCAGCGAAAAATGTGTTCCAGATTGCAATGAAGTCGTAACTTGATAATTTCTTGAAAATATTGCCATAAATGTTGAACTCGACTTGGACGTAAAACTTGTTCATAGTGGTTATTTATATGCTTGCTTACTTGTATATGTATCTTAGTCTGGCTATTAACACTGGGCACTTCGGTAAGGTTCATGACCCCAAGTATACATTAATTCAAAATTTCAACTGAATTTAATCAAAACAATGTAATACGAAAACGCCTTTTTTTGGTATGTTTTGTGGTTATGGATTTCTATGGTTTCTTTTAACTTGTGTGTATTTGTGTTCATGTTGGTCTTCTGGGTTACATAGATCCTTGAAATAAATGCAGATATGTTTTTGCGTTCCATATCACTGTGCCAGAAGATTAAGAATACCTCAGATGAGCATTAAATATGCAATATAAATACTCTTTATGACATGTACACCTTACATTTTTTGAGAGATCATATCGTGTAGAAACTGACTTTTTTCTTATTTTTTGTGGTATACATGGCCAAGAATTTTGTTTCTAATTTATAGGCTATAGCTATACTGTCTGGTATAGAAAGACATTTGTGTTGTTTTCTCTGTATTTATCACAAAACTTCCAGCTGATTTGATTCTGTGTTAGCGAATTCTTTAATTCTTTGCTGTTAGCCAGAATTATAGTGTTATCTATAAATAAAACAATAATTGATTCCTGAATATTTATTGGAAGGTTGTATATGTATAATAACATTATCATCTGCCCAAGATTGAACCCAGAGGTATGCCACATTTGTTTTTCCTAAGGCTGACATTTTAGACTTTTTTTTTTATTTCTGTACTCACTTATTTTAGTGAGTATCTTCTGATGTTTTACATATGGTTTGAACCATGGGTTTATTTTTTATCTTGCCTGCATAATTGTTCAAGTTTTATTTTTGTGAACGGAGTGTCTGTGTGATCGTTAATATGTATGTGTATTTTCATGTTTGCTGTTGAGAATAGACATTGTTGTTTGACATGAAGAATATTTTAAGATTTACATGGATTGAGTTTATTTCCAGAGAAGATGGCAGCTAGCATTCGTGAAGAAATACGCCGATTGCATCGTCGTAAGCAGCTGAATTTTTATCCTGGTCATGAAGTCCATTGTCACCAAGAATCCTCTTCTGATGGTGCAATGGAGTCTCCAGGATCACCAACTACCTCAAGCTTTGCTACAACATATTCATCAAACACCAAGGAAAAGCCTTTATTTACGTTCCGACAGGTAACTGATAACTTTTGTTTCTTGTAGGAAGGTACAGTTATGGGTGTATGTAGTATTGAAAATCAGTATTTTACACAGAGCCCTATGCAATGAAGTCCTCATGTCAGCAGAATATGTTTTAACCACATATATTCCATAATGTAGACAAAATACCACTAATGTATATGGCAGTGAAGATGTCAGTTGTCGTGATTTCTGGGATGTGACTGTATGTAGTCTTGCTGGCTGTTCCCAATGTTTCGGAGGAACATGTCACCTCCTTCTTCAGTGGTGAACTTCAACACGGTGTTGGACCCGTAAGACCACAATCATTATCACAAAGGTAACTTCAAAGTAGCAAACAGTAAGTTGAAAAATGAGACCTGTAAGAATGTAACAGGGATACAGTGGGTATAATTTCATGTATGTTCCTCGTCGCTTGTTAAGACCATCCGACACTCTTGCTTGACCATTTATAGTGTGAAAGACAATGTTACAGTGACAGTACATTTACGCGTTATTTGATTCATGCATGGTTAGATTTAGCTGTGGCATTTTGTAGTGATGGTTATCAATCTCTTCTTCTTCTTCACAATCGTGAATATTGTGACCGCCAAAAGCAGCCGTCAATACCTGCTCAAGGAAGCACCTGTACTGTGAATTTATTTACTAATTAGCTATTGCTCGTACTTGATGAAACTTGATCTTAGATTTGGTAAGTGTAGTGCGTAAAGTAGGTGCTTCCACTGCAGATTTGATAGTTCACTTATAAATGGTTCATGTTTTTAATTCTAGTTTAAATGACATTCTTAATAAGTCACTAATGATATGAAATGCTACACAGGTTGGTTTAATCTGCGAGCGCATGTTGAAAGAACGGGAGAGTCAGATTCGAGAGGAGTATGACCGTGTCTTGAACGCCAAGCTCTCTGAACAGTACGATGCATTTGTCAAGTTCACGTATGATCAAATACAGAAACGCTTTGAAGCTGCTGCTGTCCCGAGCTGTAAGTACATTAAATAACTGTTTGATATTTTGATTGTCTGTCTTGTTTCATGGAAGTGATGAAGCACTTATATTCAAATATGTGTGTGAAAGTGTACTTTGATTGAATTGTTGTAGTGCTATGATTAATAATTTAATTTATCTGATTACTTTTTTGTTAAAACTCTGAGACTGAATTAGTTTGCACTAGCTCGCTGTTTTCAGCCCGTGAGTTATACGCACGTGAAATATCCTAATGTGGGATGTAATCCATATGTTAAATGAACGACATCTCAAGCTCCCCTGTCTCTTCTTTACTAGAATAAAATGCATTCGTAGTTCTTTAATTTTGATTTATTTACCAAGATATTAAGTTTAATACACTTTGTATCAGTAAGCAGCTTGGCTTATCAGTACTGTGAAGGGCCGTAAAGCTATTAGCTGTAAAACACAGTTTGGGAATCACTGCTGTAATAATATGAAGCGTATTTAAAGTGTTCAAGTGATGTGCGCATAATATTGTTCATTAATTTGGAAATTTTATTTTCAGATCTTTCCTAAATTTGTTGTTGCTGCTGCAAAGAGAGTTCCAGAAATATTTAGCCAAGCAACTGAAATCCAGCAAGAAACATGTTTTTCCTCCTTAGTCTAAATGCTGTGCCTCACGTACATTGCTAAAAGTAAAGGATGAAGTTGATGAAACGAAGCCAAGAATTTCAAAGTTATAGTTAGTAAAGAGTCTGTGCTGGTGGGGCTTTGGGTTTGTTTTTTTTCTGTAGTGAAGTTTGTTGCAGTTTTTTCTTATAGGTATATGAAACTGCATGGCACTGTTATTGGTTTCAAGTGAAATTAATAGACCATATTATGTATTATTGTCTTCTTGTTAACGCTATTCTGTGAAGGAAATAAGATTACCCTTAGAACATGTAGTGTAATGTTTTGTTTTGTTTTCTTTATTAGTTTTGCCTTGGAATACCGAAATGTAATATGAATCTTAATTCTTAAAAGACAAATTAAGTATTTGGTGTGCAAAAAAAAAAAAAAAATTAGGAGTGCACAGAAACTTGCATTGATCGCTCAAATTGAAATGCATTGATTGCTGCTGTTTGTTTTAAGTTGTGTGTGAAAGATTTTGTGTGCTTGGTTGATTTAAAAATTGAAACATTACAGCTTTGAAAGACTGAAATATAATATAATATGATATGAGTGGCGGGAGGACAGGGTTTGTAATTATTCTAATGTGGCTCATGTAGTTGCTTTCAGGGTTGTTAAATCGCCTGTTCCTACAAGATTGGTTCATGCGAAAGCACATTTTGCATCCTTCATGCATACTCAAAATTGTGTTTAGATGTAGATGTGTGAAATTTTAACTGAACTCATGAGTGATTTGCTGAGTCATGTACAAAGTACATTTGTCAAAAGGATTCTGTCAACTGCATTCATGTACAGAGCCAGTTGCCAAAAAGTATACGGTAAACCATTCCTTCTGTAAGCACAAACTGTCTGCCAGAAATGGGTCTGCAAGCATCATACCTAAAGATGTTGTATTTTGGGACCCTTTATGTACATTCAGAATTTAACTTCTGATGTACTCTTATGAAACAGAAATGAAATTTGATGCGTTTTGTTTTCTTTAAGCTAAACTTTCCTGGGAGAGTGTAGTGTTATTAAGTATGATATTTTCCTCGAGTAACTGGTATTGCTATTTGCTAGTGGCCTACTCTTCATTTACAGTGTGCAAAAAGGAAAGATTTTAAACGTCGTCATCATTATCATCATCATAATAGCGAGTGGTTTACAGCCTTTTGGCCGTTTCTCAGAGTAGCAGGTGGCAAGCCTGCACCCTCCATACAATTTATACTCAATCTTGATTTGGCTGCTAGAGTTCTCTAGTAGCAAATCAGAAGAGACATGGTTGAGAAACATGGCCGATGAATTTTGCTTATGAAACAGTTCTTTCGTGCACATTTTGAATGTATAGTTTTAAAAAGAAATATTTCTTATTAGGTTAAATATAATTTTATTGTATAAATGATCCTAAATTAATGTTATGTTGTAAATGTTTACAAGTTAATGACTGTAATATTAGGTAACCTAAAACTTGCATGAAGTACTTCGTGCAATGTTTTTGTTGTTATTATTTTATAACATAGTTGTGGATTTTTTTGCATCAGAACATATCACGGCACTTGAACCTAATTAAAACAAAATAGGTTCTGTTCCTATTACTCATATAAGTTGGCAGATGAATTGAATTTTGGGTCACTTTCGATCTGCAGTAAGCTGTTTGGTAGAAGTGGCAACACAGCGATTGTTAAGTAAGTGCTTTTATGTGCCACGCAAGGTATAGACCTTCCTCCGACTGTTTTTACAATTATGTCGTATTTGACAGCTTTCAAATTTCTCTTGTTTCATAACATTCAAGTCATGAGGTAGCCTCCCATATTCATTCACAGCAGTGAAAACGACCTGATCATATGAAGATGAAAAGATATTTTAGAAGTAAAGCTCTGTCCTCCTTTACCAAATGTGCCATCTTCAAGATCGCTTGCCAACGCCTCTACTACAGTTCAGACTTTTATAGTTTGTCTTGGAAGCAGCGTTTAGATGATGATGATGATGATGATGATACACTGCCAGCCGTCACCCTAATGTCTATTCTGCAATAATGCAATGTTTACACCACGTGGCTCCAGTAGTGTGAAATTGAGGTACTGCAGATGGTTGGTTTGCATCATAGCCAAGTGTCTGCACCGTTAGAAGATATGGTCAGATTATTTGTATCATTTCCAAGTTCCATGCCTGTAACACAGTTTCCTCTGTCAGCTTACAAGATTACAGTGCACTTCACAATCCTGAGGATTTGAGGACCTTCATCACTGTAGTGTTGTAGTAGTTTTGGTACCAAATGTGTGATTACAAACTACAAAAGTGAAAACTGTAATCAGAGTTTTAACTTCTGTCCCCCACATTAAGTGTATGCCAGTTATTCATGGGAGATGCACGATTAACGGAAATGGTTAAAGTGGTGGTACAGTTAATTGGGTTCTTTGCAAGGCAAAGTTGTCATTTTTATAGACAAGTATTGTCACTTTACTACTTGTATCTTCATATGTTTTAGTATATGTGTAAAGTTGTTACTACTTTTATGTCAAGGGAAATCATATGCCATTTTTTAAAAGCGAAGTAATGGTGAAATATACCCACGTGTATATAGATATAAGCAAGTGCTGCCTACAAATTTGAACGTCTGTTTAGGTGAATGTCTTTCTGAGTGTTCAAAATGATGAATAAATGGAACAGTTTGGGGCCTCTTACATGTTTGTAAAAGAACATTAAACACACATTTTCACAGATTCGCTGATCTTATAAATTGTATACATTTAATTAACATTGGTAGTTTCAAATATGTATACTTTAAAGTTTTTCCTTCAGAAATTTGCTGACTGTGAAAAGTTTTGGTATATATCTATACAGTTAATTATATTTCTTGGATTTGGTTTCTACAAAATGCAAAGAGTTCACAGTGTTAGAAAATGTGGGTGTTTCAGATCATCTTGATGGCTTTTTGTTTTGATCCTTTACAGCATCACGCTGCATTTCACTGGATTGTATAGCTGTTCATGTTTGCAATCTGATGCTGGTCAGTGACCCATTGATGTTCCATCATTTTTCCAGTAGTCGTAACATAACATAAACTGGACTGTTGTGAATACAGTGCACCATCCACTTTTAGTAAGGTGTTGGTTTATTTGTTATTTATAACTTTCAGTAATAATTATCTTTTTATATATTTTTAAATTGTCCAATTCTCTCACTCTTTTATTGGTACTTTTTAATATTTCACCACTTAGGGTTTATTTTCTTAATAATTTTATTTTGGTGCGTTTAACTACGATTTAGCTATTGTGTCTAGATGTCACTTATTATTCATTCCAGTGACTGCTACCAGTTTCTTTTATAAATATGTGTTGGCTTACAGTAATTCACAATAAAAAAACTTCAAATTAAAAATCAGTATATTGTAAATTGGAAATTTGTATGTAAATTAATGTGTGTGCTGTCAGTATGTTGTGAATGAACATCAGTGGTGGTTTGAAATAAGCAGAATTTACACACTGCATGTTCATACGGCGAAAAATCTTCAATTTAAACATGATGGTTACTATCTCAGAAACAACGTATTATATGATGAACATGCTAAGTAACAACCAATATTGGGATAGTAGTAACATACTTGATCTTAAACATTTTTTGACCTCTGCAGTATTCATTCATGTAATAATGTAATGTGACTGTGTTATCCATATTGGACAACGATTTAGTTTTGCCACTAAATTTTAGTTAGGGCTCTAAAATATGAGACTACATGAGAATTTCTTTATCCATCATGCCAGGATACTCAAATCCATGACCCCATTAAGAAAATAATGTCAGTAGCTATAAATACGGTGTATTTATATTTTTTTATTTAAATGACTGTTTCAGAAACAAAGCAGTAACTTCCTGCAAATACATAAAATTCATGTCCTTGTCAGTACAGTATATTTACATTGCTGAAATAAGTGGGAAAATTTATCTTCGTTATTCCCTAACCATGGTTGGGTAACAGGAGTTTCAATGAAGCAAGCAGGGAATATGGAGCATTTTATGTTTTTTTGTTGTCTGGGTAGTGAAGTAAAGGAGATTCCAGTGAACTTTGGCATATGGCTTGGGAGAAACAAATGTGCATAGATAATTCTGGACTCTAACCACTTAGAAGACCAAGACACATTGGAGGATAATAATAAAATGTATCTTAAGGGCATTTTTTTTTTTGTAAATGTGAGCTTATCCCTTGGTGGTACTTTGAAGCTTCAGATTGTAATACTACAGTGTTTCCTTCGAATGTTCATAATGTAGACATTTTGTGCCTACATGTAATTTTCATTAAGCTCTTTGAGTATACGTATATCAGAATTGTTTCGCAGAGAATGCATGGAAGTGGATACAAATGAGGATATTGATTTTTTAAACACAAAACGTCTTTCTTTCAAATGGTTTCTTGCAGATAATGTGTATATGTTTTTGGGGCAAATTAATTTAATGCCATCAACCAAGCAGGAGTGAATGTTTTCAGCTCCATCCAGAACTTCACATTCAGTTACATTACAGCATAAGACCTGGCCACAGGATTGCTAGAGTTTTCCTGTTTCTGAGTATGGACATAAAATGCAATTCTGAACTCCATTTCAGGCACAAGACCAAGTGAATACAGTTCAGGTTAAAGGTTACATATTTGTGCTCTCGAAATATAATTGGATGTCAATATTGCTTTCCGTGGTCTTTGAAAATTATGTACATGCAGGCAGACTGATGGATACTGTAACATGTGAACGTGGCACAATATTGTCTTGTTAATATCTAGAACTTATATGTCATGTATATTTAACTGGATGTGAAAATCATTTGGGTCTTGAGGCCAACTGGCTGCTGAAAGCTAAACTTCATGTTTCTTAGTTACTAGTAAAGGGCTCCCACAACAACAAAAATTTTACAGTTGAGAAGTTTTATAGTAATTTTGAATAGACAGAATTATAAATGGCATAGGATCTGGTTATGCAAGCAATGCATTTGGTACTCAGTGAAACAGATTATGAAGTCACCATGAACTTTGTGTATGATTGGATTTATGCTGTATTTTATAATTATATTTGTTTTGCAACCCGTGTCTCCCAATACTCTTTTGCAGATATATTTGAACTGCAGTAGTGAGGAAGCACGCAGTGTGTGCTGTAAGTTAAATTGTGTTCTGTTTGCTTTGTGGGATTCACACTACCACTTGTGGACAATCTGTGAGATTGAAAAATGTTGATGTTATAAGTATCATAATTAAGTTACATGTATTTTTCTTTCTTGCCACATTGTGATATAGACAGGGAGTTGAATCTGAACCAGAAATGCACATATTTTTCCAAGATTCACACTTAAGTGATGTAGACCATAATGAATGTTAACATGTCTTACATAATAATTTATTGTGACTAAAAGTTGTATATGGATGTGAATATGATTTTTAATTGATAAAGGTTATACTTCACCCTTGAAAGAATGAAGTTCATCTAAATAATATTTAGAAATTCAGTTCCTACCACAGAGAACATGTCTCCATTAAAAATATTGATTGATTAATGATCTTTAGGGAAATAATTTATCTTTTTCTGAGGATCTTATAAAACCCACAGATACACTGCTGGCAAAATGTAGAGTTCATGAATTTTCAAGCATGTGGCTTTAGAGGTTAATGGTACAACATTTAAATCAAGATGTCACTGTTGTTAGAGTTCATGAATTTTCAAGCATGTGGTAATAGTTACCATGGCTTTAGAGGTTAATGGTACAAAATTTAAATTAAGATGTCATTGTTGTTCTGTGTGGACTCGTGCATAGATACCATTGTTTCAGAGAAGCATACAGGTTCCATCTTTGGAGCTGAAACGTTATTTCTTGCCACATTGTGATATAGACAGGGAGTTGAATCTGAACCAGAAATGCACATATTTTTCCAAGATTCACACTTAAGTGATGTAGACCATAATGAATGTTAACATGTCTTACATAATAATTTATTGTGACTAAAAGTTGTATATGGATGTGAATATGATTTTTAATTGATAAAGGTTATACTTCACCCTTGAAAGAATGAAGTTCATCTAAATAATATTTAGAAATTCAGTTCCTACCACAGAGAACATGTCTCCATTAAAAATATTGATTGATTAATGATCTTTAGGGAAATAATTTATCTTTTTCTGAGGATCTTATAAAACCCACAGATACACTGCTGGCAAAATGTAGAGTTCATGAATTTTCAAGCATGTGGCTTTAGAGGTTAATGGTACAACATTTAAATCAAGATGTCACTGTTGTTCTGAGAAACCCAGATCTCTCATTTCATTTACAATTTTACATTTCAAGGAAGATTTGTTTAAATCATATTGCGTAAGTGGAAGGTAAACCAAACCGCTCCAATCAGTACAACTCCCTGGGTATACATAAGTTTTCATATTGTAAACATTTCTGTTCAGTGGTTAGTGTAACAAGTGACAAATACCTAGTGCATACATCATGGGTACTGCATTTCATCCATTTGTTGCTGAATTGTACAGGGTAAACCATCACATTATTCTAGGCTTATTTTATACATAACACTCAGTTAATTGAAATTGTAGGTTGGAATAAATAGTAGTATCCTGATTTAAATTAAACAGTTCTATAATGATTTTGGGGTACAGCATCGGAGACAGTAACTGATGCTTTTATGATGACTAAATTTATGAGTAAACTCAAAATAATGAAGTTCCTACAGACTAAAAGGATTTTACTTCAGCAGTTTCATCTTATGAGGTATCAGGAAGCGTTGATCTGTGGCTGTTCCATAAGTAGAAATGCAGAAATTTAAAGAGAAGCAGCATGCTTCTGTTTTGAGAAACCTTCCCCAGTCTGTAATAATTTTTGTATTGTAGATAGCAGAAGTTCTTGTAGGACAATAATTTAATTTCACATTATTCACCAGTACATGATACAGCAAATGTTTGCAAAGTTTCAGGACTCATTATGTAAACATTGATACTTAGACGCTATTATTATGCATCATAGTTAAAATGTGGTCACTAAAGCAATCCTAGAAGTGAGTTGGATGTTGGCATTATGACCTTTCACTGCTCATTGAAGTCGTAGTAATAGAATCCCAACCAGCTTTTTCTGCACTTGGTGAGGTGGAGGATGGCCTGACTGGGCATTGCCCTCACATCTCTTCTTTCACAAAACTTCTTTTGAATAGACATGAATGTGACCAAACTGCATCATCGCATGCTTACCCTAATAGTCAGCTGATGTGAGTGCAGGTGTCAGGCATTTGATATTCTGTGCCAGGACGGGAATGGACCTGTCTAAACCGTGTGGAGATGGGGAAAGGAGGAGTTTTGTTGTTTACTGTGTACATGAATTAATTTGATAATGTATAGTGTACTTAAAGATCAGTCCTGGAACTTTATGGATGTGTTGTATGTTTGAAAGGTATACAGATATGGTTATACTGTATGCCAGGATCAGTTTTTTTTTCACTAACTACATCATTGTAGAAATATTTAGTGACTGAACATAGGCGTTTGTGAAATGCTTGTTACTTAAAGACTTAGGCATATTTTGTAATCAGTATATAATGCACATTTTTACTACTACAGTCAGGTAAGATATTTTCTGGAAATGTTCCAGTTGGAATAGCTACATTACTCTTAAGTTACTATAGTGGTGCTTCCCCCCTCAAACTCGATCTACAGTGAAGCATTGTCTCAAGGTGGTTGAGTGTAGATATGTGTTTTGTATTGTTTGGTGTATGTATATATGTTTGTTAGTGCATATCACATACCAGAGATTCAACAATTTTGGTGTGACTGCAGGAAATTTGGTGTTAATGTAAGAAAAAAGATCCTGTGCATATTGGGAATATTCTCATTGCCATTGTAACAGTAGGTTTCTATCAATATGGGCTCTCATTTTTAAGCTATAAAATGGAATCTTATATAGGAACTAGCAGAATAATTCTTCTATGGAGCCAGCTTAACATGGTATGTTTGATGATCTGCCATGCAAGCTTTAAAAATATATGTGCTAAATAATATATATGTAGTTATTACATTGTATTGTTTGCAGGACAGCAGAATTAAAAATGGGTGTGAAAGAAGGTAATGGAATAAGACTCCACATTATTATTTTAAGTTCAAAAATGAAACGCATGTACTTGAAGAACCAGGGCAGTTGGAGTAATGCAGTCCTGCAAACCTCCAAGACTGAAAATATTTAGTTTGTGGTTTATTTAATGATGCTGTATGTGTAACATCAAGTGAGGTTATGTGACTTCTGTATTTAAATTATGTATAATTGTAATATACCCTCAGTTTCTATAATTGTCAAGCCTACAGGACTAAAACTTTTGAAATATGCTGTTACAGCAGTTGTACAATAATAAGAGCTTCTTTAGTTTTGGCAAGTGGCCACCTAGCTTCCTTTCACTGTAATAATTTGTTGAGCTCCCCTCCCCATTTGTATTTTACAGAAAGTTTGTTTTTCTTTGAACAGATATTTCAGTGGATACTACAAGAAATGAAAGTAGGACATGCCAGTTTTGTTTAACATTGGATACTAGTAAAAAAATTTGAGGGCAGGGATGTGGAATTTGTATATGGTAAACTGAGTCACAAGTGATAATTGTAGTGTTGTTGAAACTGAAGTGTATCGCCGAAAGCTTATCTGACCTCGTGGCCTTGGCACTAGGCCCAGTCCTATATCTTGCCTCCTATGCGTGACATTGTTCTGAATACAAGGTTGAAGTAGTGAAACTACAACGTTGTGTTGGAAATTTTAGAAAGGTTAAGATTGTTATAACTCGAAAAGGATGCTTTTCTGGACCCATGTTCATGTGGACTTTTTTCATAATTTTGGTGTGAACAATTTCCTGTTACATTTTGACAATTCTTCAATGCAGCAAAGAAGACTCAGAATTTTACAAATGTAATTTTTAGGGTCATCCCCACCTGTCTGCTCAAAGTATTGTTATTCAAAAAGTAGAAATAACTACTGAGAAAGTCCACAGTCAAATCATGCATTAAAATGTGAGATACATGTTACTTTGGTATTATGGTGTGGATCAGAGTTCCTGGATATTTCTGTTTGTTTCAGACTTTGTTGCATAATATAATTTTTACAGTACCTGATGTTATGTCATAACCAGATCGTGTCACATATGAATAGTTACAGGATGGTTTGCAGATTTTGGAATTTATCTCACTGAAATGTGGAGGTTAAAGTTTTGGTGAGACCAGGCTTCAGATTCTGTCCAAAGTGTGTGCCTGAAAACCAAATTGTATAGCAGGTCAGGCATGTTCCTTCACTAGTTTTAGTTGCCACAGTAAATCATTAAGCATTTGTGGGTTAATTATGTATATGCACACACACACATTCTGGGGCTGTTTTTAAATCTGGTAAATGCAGGACAAATTTGAACACAAATATCTATACACTAAAACTGAAAACAAGAAAATTTATATATAATATATGATTTATAATATAATTTGTATTTGCTTATTGCATGAGTTGAGTTGAAAACAAGGCACTGTTTAGATGAAAAGGTGGTTTCTTATATAGGCTTAAGTCAGTCTTTATATTAAAAGAGTGATTGACTTCTAACTTCATTGTAGGATTTACCTGTGTAATATACAGTTGTAAGTATTGTAATACTTGATTATAACTGATCAAAAGGTAGTTGAGCCATAACCAGTAGAAATAACGGAAGTAGTGTAAATTGATTGGATTTTGAAGTCCAAGTATCAATAAATTTTTTAAGCCAAAACTGAGTGTTGACCTTTGTTGTTTTCCTACATGATTCCCAAAATGTGATAACATTTTATGTTTAGAATGTTTGAAAAAGGTAACATAAGGAGCACACTACTTGTGGATTTATTCCTTGAACTTCAATAAACACATTTCTTACATTATGAAAATTGACAGTTTGTAAGAAAGCTGTACAGTGCAGAGCCCACCATTAAGAGAAAAAGATTCCAATTTGAATGATTGCAAGTGCCAGAATAATCTGTACTTAATTTCATATGAATATGTTGCTGACACTACTGTTGTATTGTGCTTTTGTCAGACATTCTAGTAATGACACATGTTCATAGTTTTCTCTGAGTGTATTTCTAGACCAGCCTTGTTGGCTTCTGTTTGGAATTTCAGGGTTCTTTATAGTATTTATGTTTTTGTTCACTGAATTGATATAGTACAGAACCAGCAGCTGGCATGGTCCATTCAATTATATTTCCTTCAGACTAATAGCAATTTCAAGGGAACATTAAAAATTATTTATGTAATTTCTTTGTCTTTTTCAACAGTATTGGCCTTAATAACATACTTTAACTAAACTCTGCCAGTTTAGAAGTGGATAGGGGTTGTGATCGCATGGACATGGCCATCCATAACAATTGTTATGGAATTTCCATGGCAGTTGCAGATAGGTTGATTAACAGCCTCAGATAACAAGCATAGAACATACACAGGCCGCGAGTTGGGAACCCATAACCTACCAGAATCAACAGTTGTCTGTGGGATGCAGGCACAGATATACTATAGCCCGATGATTACACTCGACGTGAAATATGTACAAACGACATTTACCTGCTATCATCAAGAGATCCAGTACAGCCAACACGTCGATCGGAGAGTCTTTGCTCATGGATAATAAGCATGTTTTGGTCATTAGCAACGTCTAGTTGGTTTGACACGTTGATGTCTTGAAATTGTTCAAATCTTATGTATAACTAATATTTTTGTAAAGTTGATATGGGTGGACAGAAATTTCAGTACGATGAGAGTGGAGGCACATTCTTTTACTTTCTCCTTTCATTTCTTGCTCTGCTCTTAATTCCAGGAACATATTATTGGTGGCCACATAATAGAAAAGAAGGTAAGCGTGGGACATAACCTTTTTTGTTGAACGTGTGGATTTAAGTTTTATTATAAGGTCATATTCAAATAATACAGCTAGGTTCTCTGGAATGTATATAAATTCTATTATAGATCGAAATTAGAGAACCGATAAAGATTTTTAATCCACCTTTAGGCTAATCACATTTGTATCGTCATTGGAATAATGGTTCTCGTAATGTAATTTCATTATATACGATTTTCGTTATAACTTTCTGCTGATTAATGTTTCGAAAATATTAATTGTTTGTGGTCGGTTTATAGCACAAAATATTTGGTTTATTTAGCTCTTAAATTTAACTTAATCACTAACAGTCATTGATTTTAATACATGCATCCCATTTATTTGTTTAATTTTGAAAACCTGTGACCCTTTTCTATTATATTTGAACAGCATGCAAATTTGTATTATTTTGTTAGCATATTAATTGAATGCATTTTTTGGAGAGGGGGGGAGGCAAGTTAAAATTTTTACTCTGAAGAGCACTTAGCACAACATGGTCTGCAGTAAACTATTCTGTGTATCAGAAAGGATCTTTCTTTTTCATATCCAGAAACCACAGTAAATGAATGTCAGTGTGATGACTGCAAAAAGAAGAAGTTTTTACTTCGGTCTAACGAACCGTGGAAAGGAACCAAACACCTATTTACGTAAGCTTGGATTTACCTTTATAAAGTACTATTTTGTAGGTTACGTGTTCATCGTCTGCTTGTGTTATCCTTTCCTGTTCCCTATTTCATCTCTCATCCCTGATTCTGATGGACAGTCATCTTCTTTTCTTCATCCTGATCTCACCACCATTCCTACATCTCACCTGTATTCCTACACTGAAAATGGAAGCAGCAGGTTTCACCAAAATCTTGGTAACTACCTACATGGCTATATAGTGTCACAACCCAGAAGACCACAATTTAAACTTTCACAGGTGATACAACATGAAATCAATACTTACATTAGATTATGAATGTGATTTGGTCACCTCAGATCTGCTTTTATTAGTGTATCTTTTATAGTTACAAATCTTATGCTATGATCTGGAACACTGTGCTTTGATTCCCATCATGGCAGGAATTTTCTTTTCCCCACAAGATCCAGACTGGCTGTGGGATCCACGTAGCCAAAGTTTCCTTTGTGTTTTCCATCCAGTGACCATAAAATAAATAGATTAAATTAGTAACAGTAAGAATCCACAGAATGTAATATAAGATGTTTGGAGCAAACCAAATAGATTCTTATATTTTTGCCATTGAATGGGAATTCAGTATTTTATGAATCTGCATGAAGCAGTTATGTTGCTGCAGTATAAATAAACTGTAGTGACTCTATTAAAAGGGGGACTTGCTTTGTACAATAAGTTACTAAAATTAATTTTGTTCCCATTCATATTACTGTGAAGTACAACATGTCCTTATTATGTTTTCAGTAAACTACTCATCATTTCTGGATGGTTGATCCTGATTCTTGTCGCCTATAAAGTTTCCCAGTTTGATTATGAATATGCTAATTTTGACCCCTATGAAATTCTTGGGGTACCATTGGTGAGTTGATTGTTTTTATCGTCTTCTTTCCTGAAAGGAGGTAAAGGTTTACAGTGCATACATATTTGTCCATGTTGCCTTGCCCATTCTCTGGTTTTCTTTTAACAAGAAAAACAATAATCATATTTCTTGTAATGATCTTATCTTCTGTGGTGGAATTAATGGATCTTAATATGGTATCATCTGTGCTTTGGACAAAACTAGTAGGACAGTCATGCTTGATTTTGAGGTGGGCACCATGTGGTCTCATGGAAATTGTTATTGGCAATGATTACATGGCGGAACATCCCAGAAGGCAGTCGTCCTGAAATGTTAGAAACTCATTTCTGTCCAATAATCGACTTTGATGTTTTATCTTATGGCTATCTTTAATCTTTGTACATGGTATCAAGACTTATTACATCAGAGATAAAATTATATCTCAAACTGTCAATATTGACATGATCCAAATGTGTTTGACATATCTGGTATTTTAGATAGCACCCTTTAATGGCAGAGGCGAAATAACATTCCTTTGTATGTAGGTGTAAATATGAGTGTTTATTACCCAAACAATTCATATCAAAAAATTTGCAGTCATGATTTAGAATTGGTCGTCCCATTTGTTACGCTGTGTGGACTTGTAGATACCAGTGTTTTGGAGGAGCATATTGTCACTATCTTCAGCCCTGATGATGGAAGCAGTATGTTCCAGAAACAGTAGTATCTATCTACAAGTCCACACAGTGTTACAACCCAGATGACCAACATTGATACCTTCACCTACTATAAGAACGTTAAGTATCATGCTGATGTAAAATGTAATAATAAAATTACTATGTTTTTTTTTATCTTTGGCTATTCTTAATATGAAAGCAGCTTCTAATACTGTTGCTATTGCTGCTATTAGTCACTAGTGTACATTTCAGACATTCATTCTTGTGTTTGGTGCGCTTATTTATTAGATTTCATTACATAAAAAGCACACTAAATAAAAAAACCTCATTCTATTTAGATTTGTAACTTGTTTTGATGTGTTTTTTTAAACTTTATGTGTATTTAATGGAATAAAATTAAGCTTTGTTTAGACCTTTAGGTGGAGTGACATCATGGCTCAGTCCATGCTTAAATTAGGGCTTCCAGTATAAAATGTTATCAAAATCTGAAAAGAGGGCCATGCAAAAGACTTCCTAAACATGAATGTATATTTACAGGGCTCGTCACAAGCTGAGATTAAGAAGTCATACAGGAAACTCTCTCTCATTCTTCATCCTGATAAGGAAACTGGAAATGAGAAGGCATTTATGAAACTTACAAAAGGTGAAATATTTATTTTCCACTGTTCTATAACAGTAATAAAATTAATTTCTTCAGTGTGGACTCATCAGGGTAACTTATGTTCAGTATGATTGAAGTCAGTTTAGTTATTATTATATGAGAAATGAAGGATTTAACTCCAACGGTATGCTACTGTGACACATGGCCAGCTAAAGTGCACAAGTGTCGTGATGCATGGCTGGTAACGGTAGAATCTTGTTTTAAATTGTAGCTTAGGCCACTCTGATATTTTGATTACATCTCATGAGACACTGTGAAATGAAAGTGGCCCTTGTGTGAAAACTAATTCATTTATTTTTAAAACCTTGCATTGTAATGACAGAAATTTGAATAAACTAATAGCACAGAGTAGAGTCCTTGAGGAATTAATAGTATGCTTAGCTAGTCACGATATTCCCTGCCTTTTATGCAGTCTGAAGGTTCATTACTGTGCTCACAAAAGCCCACCACTGGTCATTATCCTGAGACAGATCAACCCAGTTCACGCCTTTCCTGCAGTTTTAAAGAGAGCCACATTCTGACTTCATTGTAACATTGTCACTTAATTAAATATACCTTGGACTTTCAGCATACCAAGCCTTAACAGATGATGAGGCTCGTCGTAATTGGGAAAAATATGGGAACCCTGATGGACCGGGTGCCATGAGCTTCGGAATAGCCTTACCATCGTGGATTGTAGAGAAGGAGAATTCTGTGTGGGTAAGCCACTGCAGACAATATTATGAACAGAATTGAATTACATTTGACGTTCACATTTGCAAGCCACAGAGACACATTTGAGCATTTAAAAATGACTTTCACCCTGTGTACAGTGACTGCTTTGGGAATTTCTTCTACCCACATAAGTCCGAAGATATTACAGCAATTCTCCAAGTATTCCAGTTGTATTTTTTGTATTGTTCGCTTATTGCTGTTAGTGTGACTACAAGTAGCGGGATAGGATGGACAGCCTTGTAGCATGCAGTGAGAAATTGAAATTGTTGCATGATTTTAGCTTGAGTACTGAAAGGAAGATACCATCTGGAAACCCTAAGTGTATATTCAGAGATAATATTAAGACAGATCTTTGAGAAATGGGGCATGAGGATGTTATGATGACATAACTGGTTTAAGATGAGGTCCAGTGGCTGGTGGTAGTGAGTATGGTAAGACACTTTGGGTATCCATAAAAGGCAGGGAAGTTCTTAACAGGTTTATAACTATGAACCTACACCATGACATTATTTAGGCGGTTTGTTTTAGATTTTTTTATAATCCTACTCTTACGTTACTTGATGATTTGGGAGTTGGCTGTACTCCCATATTCAGGAGACTGATTGTCATTATACTGGCAGATTCTTTTGTCATTTCTTTTTTATTCTTAGTGACAGCTGTTGGGATTGAACCCTGGACCTTTTTGATTATAGGCTAGTATCCTAACCACTAGATAAAAAGAGGGAACAGTAACTTGTAATTCTCATTCATGCAGGTTCTGGGGCTGTATGCTCTCGTGTTCATGGTTGCATTGCCCACCGTTGTTGGAATGTGGTGGTACAAGTCTATCCGCTATTCTGGAGATCAGGTAATATGCTGTGGTCATTTCCATATCCCTCCATGCTCCCTAGTCATAGTCATATAACTAATTTATTCCAGACCACATCTGCAGTCAGTACATTAGTATTACATACTAGTCTTGAAACATATCTCTCTATAGTGCACACTTTCTAGAAAATTTGTTATCAAATTGTTGAAACTGTAAGTTCACTCCAGAAATGATCGCTCTTCAAAGCCTCTGGAGTAGAACCTTGGACAGTTGTATAGATGACAGCAAGACATACGTGTACCTTAAAGTGCTTTACCGATGTGCTGGTCCATTCAAATGATAACTTTATTTTTATTTTTTTGCTGTGGTAATGTTTCCTCCACATTGCTTCTAAACTACTAATTGTCTTTGTGAAACAAAAGTTCATAGCAAGTTGAAAGTAATGAGTAAATTATGTTGAGATTAACACTTATTTCAAGTGTCCTAGACGTGAATGAAAACCACTGAGGATGCAATTTGTAACATCTTTATTATCTCTGTACATTCAGGAATTTAATGTCACTTACATTGGTGCTGTAAGACAGATGTGTAAAAAATTAAACACTGTAATGATGGAGCAGAAGACATTGATACATGAATGGGAACCACTGAATGAAGGGATTTTATCTTGTACAAGGAATAAACGCCGCCTTTGTATAGACTAGTCTGTATACTACATGATTCTGTATGTATGCAGGTTCTCCTGGAGACCACGCAAATGTACTACTTTTTCTTCCACAAAACTCCGTCCATGGCTCTGAAAAGAGTGATCATGATCCTTGCTGCATCACTAGAGTTTTCGAAAAAGCACAACGGAGAAATTGTGGAAAGACAGACGGATGCCGAAGAGGTTCCACATGTGAGTACGAATGCTTCCTACGTGTCCTGTACTCTTCGGAGTACCAGCTTGGTTGAAATCTTTTAGTAAGGAAAAAGCAGCTTCTAAGGCACCGCAAAAGAGAAGTTTGTAAGTTCGTTCTTTTGTGGACTGGTGATGTATCTTAGGTATAAGACTGGTTTTAAATGCCTGGTGTATTGGTGTTACGAGTGTTATTGTGCCAGAAGGTACAACATAGATGGGTGGATGATATTAAAATGGATCATGAAGAAATAGGACTTGATGATGTGGACTAGATTCGTCTAGCTCAAGACTGGAGCAAATTGCTGGCTTTTGTGAACATGGTAATGAACTTCGGGTTTTATAAAATGTAGGAAATTTCTTAACAAGCTGAGCCAACTTTAGCTTCATAACAAGAATAAATAGATGATAAATCTAGCATTTTTAAGTTGTCTGATTAACATCTCTAGTCTTTTTATGCAGAAAGTATTTTTTTTAAAAGAATGGTAAGTTACTTCAGTATATGTGTTTTGCATGTTTCTTCTTGGTATTTTCAGTTAATTAAGCAGATCTCAAACTTGAGTGAGAAGAATCAAGAGCGTCCGCTCTGTTTTGCATACTCCGTCAAGGCACGTGCCTTGTTATATGCTCATCTGAGTCGTATCACATTAAATCCTAATTCGTTAGACAAGGACAGGCAGTACATAGTGAAGAAATGTCCGTATCTCATCCAGGAGATGGTGAACTGTGTTTCACAGCTCGTTTTACTGGCATACGCTCGAAGAAGTAAGTTCACCATTGGTCATAATTGTTGCTTTTTATGTAAAGACCTCCTCTTCTTTTATGAATTATGACTTTTGTCCTGTTTCAATTTAAAGTTAACTTCTGGAACTACGAATTCTTCTAGACATTAATTGGGACTCTTGGGCGAGGGGTCAGCCCTTTTGCAAAGTCGCTAACTACACAGGACAACACAACACAGAAATATATTGACAGTATGGTATCATCAGCACCAAGTAAAGTTTTTTAATACTAGACCAAGGGACTTTAGATCTAGCTAGAAGTGTTAAATTATGTTTAAAAATGATTGTGTGATATGCCTTCCACTTTGATAAATTCAACAGATGGTTAAGGACGGTATGTCGAATAATTTATTTGTAACAAACCAAAGTAGGAGTTACCCAATAACTTTGATAAGTATTTTAAATGTATTGATTAAGGTTTGTACTGGAATATAATATGTGTATGTCATTCATAGAGTTATAATGATGCATTAAAAAATGTTTTATTGCTTTTTGTGTTTTTGAACAGTGCCTTTTTTCCCCCCCCTGACTGTAATTTGTTGTTATTGATTCTGTGTTACAGTTCCTCATTTACCCAACATTGATACAATAGAAAACTGCATGAAATTGAGTCCAATGATTGTGCAGGGGATGTGGGAGTTCAAGAGTCCACTATTGCAGCTTCCATACATCACTGATGAAAATCTAAAATATTTTTCATCCAAGAAGGTATTAAAAGTAGCAACTGTGTGTGTGTTTTTTTTATGGGTTGTGGTGGTTAGCATTTCATGAGATTTTGTGAGTCAGCGAACCAGAGTATTGTAAAACCATTTTAAATGTTGGTCACCACTCATTGTTTCATACACTGAGGGTGCATCAAATTTTAAAAAAATGTTAATGTGAAAAAAGCAAGTTGAGTAAGAGTGCCAGATTAAATTTTTAATAGATTTGAATTTTTTTTTGGAGAATTCATAAATTACAAAAAGTACTGAATTTGCATACAAAGGTATCTGTGTTAATATGAAAATTTTGGTTGAAGGGAGTCTGGAATATTGGTATTTTGTGGAATAAACATTCAGTGAGTTAGTGGAAAGAACAGGAATATAAAACTGGCCAAACTTTAAGGAATAAATTGAGGGAATATTTTAGAGTAAGTCAGTGAAATGTAAAGAAACAATAACAATTAAGGAATTTGTGTACTTGCATTACAACATTCCAGCTGCTTGTTAAAGTTACTAGTTATCTTCTACTCTGGTGTGTTACAAATGATGAGGAAGTGATGTGCTTGCAGATTTTCATCGTGTTTACTGTAAAAGTAAATGCAGTAATTTATGAGGAATATGTCTTATTGGTGCATTTTTTAAAATAATATTTATTTCTCTGACGGATATGACTAAAATTTTGTGTTTTTAGCGACACATAAAGAGCATTCAACAGTTTGCACAGTTGAAAAATGAAGATCGGCGGCACATATTGCAAAGCTTTTCAAATGAACAATATGAAGACGTAATGAAAGTGGTTGGGAAGATGCCGTACATTGAACTCCAAGTCCGTTCTGAAGGTGAGCATCGGTAACTGTGTCTGAATGTGTGATTCCCAGTTGGTTAAGAGAGCAGTCATGCTTACATGCTCTTTACTCTGTTTTGCAGTGATTGATGATGAGAACCCCACAGTCTACACCGCTGGTGCTATCGTCACGGTAACAGTTAAATTAATACGGCAGAACATGAGCGATTTGTTTGGGGATGACAGTGTGACCGATAAGCATGAGCAGCAGGTTGCGTCTGGTTTCAGTAAACTGGGCGAAGATGAGGAAAAGGAGGAAGACAGAAAAGAGGAGCTGGTAAATGTACCATTTATTCAGTCATGTGGGTTGATCAAGTGCAAGTTTCTTTAATATGTCTGGTCTGTTTTAGAAACATGCTGATTGTGTTAATGTATTTTGTGACCTCATAAGACATTTATTACTTTCAGCTACCATTTGAATTACCCTTGCCTGCTTGTTTAGAGCCTAGTAATGACCAGAGGAAAGTCGCATTTCTTAAGACCAAATTAAATATCTTGTAACCATTTTTGTCCTACCGGATCTCATCGTCTGCTGCTTGAATGTGTCAGGGTTAAGTATACAAAAAACCTGTATGTATAGATATTCAGTGGACATATATTTTTTGCTTTCGTGGGTAGGAGTTCTTTATGAGGGGGTTCTAGAAGACATTTAAAAGGTGCAATCCATTCCAGACTACATGGGGTTTCCATACACATTCCTTGCATCTTGTCATTCATACCCATTTTAATAAAAATCTGTCCAGTGGCTCTGCTGAAGCATACAAACAGGCAGGCAGGCATGATCAGCCCAGAATGCACATAACTATGAAATGGCAGTATATTTGTCCAGTTGGGTAAAATATGGCACTAGTATTTTTCTGAGCCATGGTTTAGAATGTTACGTCACGAAAATTACTGTTCTTTGCAATGTTTGCATTATACTTGCGACCAAAATGAGACATTACATGTAAAAAAATGACATTTGATGCTGTTTAAAAATTGTTATGGTTGCTAAATAATGTACATTATACAAATGTAATTTTTCGCTGTTGACATGAGATCATGGGCATAGCAGCAAAGTGTGGCATGTTAGAACATTGAACCAAAATTGGATCATAATTGGAACATATTTCACTTAATGCACTGTGTGATGCATATTCAGTATATTTGCGTATCTGGGGGCCGTCTTCTTTGACCGCAGCCAGAGGATATGCCACTCTGTGGTACCAAGGAACCAGCTTAACTTCTTTTGCTTGCCATTTTACTGTTTTCAAAGGCGTGGGAGATGTATTACTTTTATTTTGGTTCAGCTGTTAATAAGAACAGGCTCTTGATCTGCAGACGAAGAAACCGGTATGGCAGAAACAACAGAAGAAGGGTAAGAAAGGAACAAAGAAGAATATAAAGAATCAGAAGCCTGTTGGCAGGCCAATAGCAGCTAAGAAGAGTGAAGATAAAGCGTCTAATGCCGTAGAGGTTCGTTTTTATATTTTATGTTCATAAGTGACAGATTTACATTAAAGAAATCTTTTAAACGTCTGAATGGACGTCAGCAGCAGTGGTGAAGCAGGACTGAAGGAATGTGGCAGATCAGACATAAAAGAGTAAGTACTGTGACATAACATGAAGTTAGAGATGTTTATAAACCACTCACAAACTTTCTTTAATTTAGTTAAAATTTCTAGAAGCGTCTGTTGTCTCTCATGAAGATGAAAACTGGTAATTCTTGTTAACCTTCATTGCTGTAGCTTAATTTTGATCCAAATTTGAATAAACTCATTATGAGAACTCATAAATACATTTCACTAAATAAATGTTTAGTATTTAAGACAAACGTTGTAGGCATTATAAAGTAATTTTGTTCTGTGACATACATTACATTCACTTAAGTGTGACTACTTCTGATCATCTTTACATCTCATTAGATGCCATATAACTTCTGCAGTTGAAACAGAATCTTTTAATGACCAAATAACATGTGTAAATCCCCTGCTTAGGCAGCACCCAGTAAGCAAGAAGGGGGCAGGAAGGCAGCAGCGGACACGGGGGATGAGAGTGAAGGGTCGGATGACGACGTTGAACGTTCAGATGATGATGAAGATCAGCACAGTCAAGGAGAGAAGGTGAATTTCTTTGTGTAATTTGTGTTATTGTGTTTAAGTATTTATTGTGCCCATGAGAATTCATCCATTTACAAAATACCTTGAGGTTTGAGAACAACATTTTTGTGATTCATTGTTGGTTACTGGAAGTATCTCTGAAACTCAGTTTTTTGAATTTCTGAAAGCTACTCTGTTGAATTACATTCAGTTGTTTTCACATCATCATTGGTTTCTTTAAATTTAGGGAGCATGGAAAGTGATTGGGGACCATATCTGATAAATAGGATGGTTCACACTTGCTACTCTAAATGGGCAGTTTCATAGTCATGGAGCGGTTGGTCACTCACCAGATTTCCACTTTTGTAGCTGTTTCCTCGATCACAAAGTGTATATATAATACCCATAACATGAGTCTTTCTTTTTAGCTCGTCTCTGTGTTTGAATTGCAGAACATTTCAAATTTTGTCTTAGGTGTCAGCGGAGGATGATGACACAGAGTGGGAAAAATTTCAGACACGACTCTCAAAACGTGAGAAAGTATTAGAGGGCCGCAGTAAACAGTCACATAGTGTGCACTCTCCATTTTATCCTGAGGTAAGTAGTCCCATTAACCTCAGTGAAAATAGTTCTTGTAGTTTTTAATCTAACATGTTCCTATAATTATCCCAGGCAGTTATCGTTGAAACCATGAATTTATTTTTTGTGATAATGGTACAGGACAAACAGGAATATTGGTGGATTTACATAAGTGACCGCAAGAGTCGGACATTGTTGACTTCTCCGTACCATGTGACTGCACTGGTGGAGGAAGAAGAAGTGCAGCTCAAGTTCACTGCTCCTCGCTGGCCTGGAGTCTACACTTTCACTGTCTGTGTCCGCTCTGATTCATACCTTGGGTTTGATCAGACGCATGACATTAAGGCAAGTTTTAAATTATGTTTTGCTTCTTAGCCGAGGTCAAGGAAGAGAGGAGCTATACCTCCTCTCACCCCAAACGCCTACATGGCGTATAGTGGGACAAACTTTACTTTACCTTACATGTAGTTACTATTCTCTGGAACGTCTCATATTTGCCCACCACATCTCAGTTTGTTTGACACTCTGATTTCTAAAAAAAAACACTTGTGGTCCAGCCTATGGACTAGGGAGTGGCTGCCATCTTTATATCAAATTTCTTTAATAGAACTCTTTCCAAGGTAATGTAAGAGAATGTTGGTGAAGACAAACCGACTGTTAAGGAATCCTTTACTATGTGATCACAATTTTATTTCACTTTTATAACCAAGCTTACTGTTGAAAATATCTGCTGAGGAACATAACCTCAAATTTTAACACAAAGTCAGTCTTCAACCAGAGACTGTACCACTGTGCAGAAATATTACCATTGCGGGTGTATAAGAATATGATTCCTTTTGCCTTTTTGAGGGCATAATGTATTTGAGATTGATTTGGATGAATACTTAACACAGAGTGATCCTAAATAGTAAGACCTTTGTGACATATGGGGTGTGATAAGATCAGTAAGTTTCAGTGGGAAGTCATAATACAGCCAAATATTGTGACAATGGAAAAAATGGTAACTGGCTTGAGTCGCAGAGGGTAAGCATGAAATTATCAAGTCCTTACTGTGTTTACCTTTCTGTAGTACATTAAATGAATAAGAGGCGTGAGGTTGCTTTATTCATTGTGCTGTGTAGTTGGATGTGAAGGAGGCTGCTGAAGTTCCAACAGAGCACCCCCAGTGGGATATGTTGGATGATGAAGAGGAAGAACCAGAGGGAGATGGCAGTGATCTATCAGAATTCACCACAGACGAAGATGTTGAAGAAGAACAGGAAGATAAAGTTGTGTTTAGAACGAGTGAGTAACGGAGTTCAGGTTTAGCTCCATGCCTAAGCAGTATTTATAAATGAGTCATTGCAGTCTTTAATATTTCTTTGTATTCTGTTGTGTCAGGCATGACATGCCATGCCATGCCATGCCGTGCAGTGCATCGAGTTTCAGCAAATCGCTAAACTAGTGGGCCAGGTGATCTAGAGCAAGGGCTGAAATGCTAATGTATTTTCTTGTGTAATTTGTGCCACTACACATTTCAGATGATTTAAAGGGAGTGCAGAAGTATCTCGTTCACCAGACTGCAACTGCAGGCATCATACTTTCTAAGGGTATAAAGGTGGGGAATTTTGGATGGGTACAGCCTGACATCTGACGCTAATTAGCTTTTTATCTTGGATTTATTGTAGCATTTCCTATAAGTACAAGGATGATATCAGTGGGGGGAAAAAATTGTGAATGCCCATCTGTGCTTTATTGATTTGTTACCTCTTAGCAAATTGCCAGTAACTTGGTGCCAGCCTGAAGAACTGTGGTAGTTGCATTTCTAGTGCTGCACTTATTCTGATCAATTGGCTTCTTGTGTGTGTGTTTGTGAACATTATTTAGATTCTCAAGGCCTTCTTTTGAACTGGATGTCATGTGTCCAGAGAGAGACAGTTTTCGCTATAAACCACATGCATTAAATGATGAATTTCCACTCACTTCACAAAATTGGATCATGCCTGATATTCCAACTTGATACATAATGTGACTCCAGCCACCATTTTGTGTTTCTCATATGATTATGGCACTGTTTATCTCTGAGTGCATATGGAAAAGTCATGAGAGGCTTGTGAGAATTTATGAATGTCTGTACCGTATGTGGCATTTGTTAATGCATTTGTCGCCAGGCTTCAGAGGAGAGAAGAAATGTTTGTTCTATCTTTCATTTGGCAGAATGACAAGATGTTCCTGTGGTTTACACAGTCAGAAGAGCAGAGTTCATACCTCGTGGTTGGAGGCTGTTACATGAGAGATGTCTAGTGTATTGTCTTCCAGCATATTTCAGGCAAGCATGAGGCACACTTAAATAGACAAGGAAATGCATAAAAAGATGTCAGAATTCATTGTTATATTTAAATAAACCAATGAAAATTATTACTTTATTTAATTGCTAGCCCATTTAATTTTTATGTCATGGATAAAAGAAAGAATTATGAAATTGTACAGAGGCTACCAACAGCTTTTCAGAATCAAGAGTTGACAATGTTGAGGTACCGCTGTACGTTATCAGGGAGGTAGCGGGGCAGTGTTTACAACTTTTGCTAGTGTGTGGATTATCCACAAACTAGTAAGTTTAAAGTGAGACCAAAGAAGTCATATAAAACCAAACAGTTTCTGTTTATAGGGAATGTATAGGGGAAGTTTTCATGATTCAAATTAATATTTATGAAATAAATACATAAAATGTTAACACACAGGGATAAAATTAAAATTAAATTAATAATAGAATATGCTAAGGCATTCTAAACTTAACTACTTCTAGAACAACCCACAGTATGTGTTACCAGTTTTTATTTAATTATAACACAAATGTGGTTATAGTAAACTTCATGGGATTGATCTAGAACTTCGTATCAAGAACCATATTGATGCTGACTTTGAAGGCATTGTTTCATTTTCTTTGCATTTGTGGTGTAAAAAGTAAAGTCATAATAATCTTATTTTTGTAAGCACTTTCAGTACTTTACAATCAAATATACCTCTTTCATGTTACAGGTGTTTCATAGAAATTAGAATCGAAAAGAATCCAAGTTTCTTGTAAGTAAGAATATTTCTTTGTGTAATATAGAATGTAAATGACTGTTTGCTCTAAGAAGGGCAAAAGAATTTTATTTTTATTTTATTTTATTATTCCTTAAAAGATATTTATTAATTATCAGTGTTTTAAAAAAGGTTAAAGATTTGTAATGGTGTAGAATCTTATTGTACTTAATATAGAATTAAAATATTACCTCTTAAATTCAATAATTATTTTCAGAAGCAATATTCGTTTACATCTAATATTTTATCATTGCACAGCCATAGGTATTTAATTCACCAATGAAAATTTATTTTGGACTTAGAAACATGAAGGCTACAGTAAGAATGTACATTTTTCATGTAATGTCAGTGTTGGTATCATTTTCATTACATACAAAATAATTAGATTGAAGATTGATTCTTATCTTCTGTTCCTGTTCATAAGACATTTTTACTTTATGTAGGTCATCCAACAACCAATCATTTTCATGAGTCTCTCTGTCTTCCCAAAACTCCTCCGCCTCCTCAGTTTGTTTCCATGCCCTTCCGTCCATCTGTGTAACAGCATTCCTAATATGTTGCTCTAATTTTGGTCTTAGTCTCCTTTTTGGGCATCTTCCTTCGCTTTGATGTTCCATACCCTATTTGGAATTCTGTCATAATTAACAGAACATGTCCACACCATCTCATCCTGAGCCCTGATAATGGAGGCTGTAAGTACCTTTGAAATGTCAGTCAGCATCTAGCAGACTGTGGTGCAACATCCCAGAAGGCAGCCATCTTCAGACTTGTCATTGTGAGAACCTGTTAATTTTATAAACAGGTCCAGCATTAAATACCATCCAAATACCTGAAGGTTTGTGTAAAGTGTTGCAGTAGCATACTGCTAAATTATTCACCACAGAATTGAAGTTTTATCAGTAGCTTTGTAGTATGAAGGTTTTAATATTTTGTTGACATATCATAAAGGTTTTACTTTTGTTTAGAACTCACCAACTGTTTGTTTTTAAGATATATGTATGTGCACATACTAGCATTATATCTGTGTTGCATGAGTAAAGGAATCCATTCCAGTGATGTGAGCTCCTGTGGGATGATAGACCGTGATGAAATTAATGGCCAGCACTGGAATCTTTAGTTTACTGTGGAAACAACCATAGTCAGGTTATTTGTACTTTCCACATTCAGTCTAAACTCTTTCAGGGATGTAAGACAAATGGCATATTGAAAAATTTGTGTTAGATATAACCATTATTTTGGACATGTTAACTGCGGATCGTTCCTAAAAGGGACGAGTTAAATAATATGAAAGCAATAGCATAAGTTTGTTGTTGCATATCTGGTACACTTGAGGCAACTTTGGAGTAACTTATTTTAAAGCAGGTTATGTATGCTTTCACATTACTGCGCCGTGTGGAGTGTTAGAAGTCTACAGACGTAGCGGAGGTGCTTACTGCCTCATCTGAAACGTCCGTAATCTTTTATCAGACCACACGAGACGAAACAATCCAGAAAACAGAATTCTGATTACTCGCCGCCGTGAGAACCTGTCACCACACTAGGGAGGTTATGTTCTTTGATAATCCCTTCGTGGGTATATAAATGGCGGGAATCGTGAGATTTGTGGTAGAAATCAGTGACTGTTGACATAATTTGAGTTAGTATAAATTAGAATCTATGGAGGACGAAGTATTTACGATTTAAGGTTTTCACGGCGGTGCGCCCGAAGTATTTATTTAGTATGGTATTACTTGGAAGTAGAATGAGAGAAAATTGTTAAAATATGGCAGGTGACTCTACGTATGTTATAACGCCGCCTTTATCACCTCAGGGAGTTCGGAGTGGTAATGTCAGTTTTGAAAATGGTATGTACCGTTTTCACATCCAAAGAATTACGATCATGTTACAGAAACTCCTCAAATTTGCGTAACAATTATTTGGAAGAAGTAGACCCACATTTCACGTTCGTGATATAACCTTATCATCCATTCGGTACACGTGGGAGTTTCACACTGTAACTTGTAATATTGTATATGTCATTTTACTTAATGTTACTTAATTTAATTGTGAATGTAGTTTTAATGTCAGTGATGATTCTCTTAGAAACAGCTCATGAACAGGATGAGTACAATGTATACAATAAGGAAACTTATAATTAGTTCTAACAGATGGGTCTTCTGAGTATTACAGTATTTAAATTAATTAATTGGCTTGTATTTGTAAGATTATTTAAAATTCTTTAAAATGTTTATACTTTGCTTTGAAGCTTGGAACTTGTTTAATTTTTTAAAGATCATTAGTTTATTGACTGTTATTTGGAATTGCAGTTGGCAGTGTCCAGTTTCACTGGTTCACGTGTGCGGGAGAAGGAAGTTCAAGAGATATGAGACTTCAGCTAGATGGTTATATAATGAAGGGAGAAATGAATGTTATTGCAGATTACACTAGTGTGTGGGAACAAGTAAAGAATCCAATAATTCTTTTTGGCAGAAATTTTGATCAGGACTCAGCTTTGCTTTTCCATTCCAAATTGCTGTTTCAAATAGCAAGGTAAGTGAAGTATTCAATAGCCCTGCTCAAATGTAAACTTAACAGCAAATAAAATAATTTTGTTCTCAGTCCTTAATCTGTGTAACTTGAATGGATCAACATATTGTTATTTTAATTTATTTTATTTTTGCATGTTTATGTCATTAGTGTTAATAATGAACTCACTTTCAGGATTTCTTTAGTGCAATATTTCACATACCTTTTCCTTGCATGTTATGAACTTTTATTAGAGCAAGTGTGTAATGGTATATTTTTATCTTTGAAATAGTCTCTCCCTTTGAAGCTGTCTAACCAAAATTTTGTGCATGTTTCTGATCTCCCTCATATGTGCTACATGCTTTAGACATCTCATTGACCTTGATTTGGTCATCTTGATAATTTTCATTTGTGGCCTTCTGGGTTGTGACTGTGTGGTCTTTTGGTAGTGCCCAACATTTTGGAGGAATTCATTGCTGCCATATGTAGGAGAAAGTGAGCTTTCAACCTAAATGAAAGTGATGCATTTCTCTAAAATATTGATAACCGCCAACAAGCCCACACAGCATCATAATCCAGGGGACGACAGTTGGCGTCTTCACTGCCATGAGGACCTTAAATCGTAGTCAGCATTCTTGCTTTATTTTTCAGGAAAGATGTGATGATCTTGGATTCAGCATCAAGACTAAGTTCTCATTTACCCAGTAACGTTTCAACTTCTTTGCAGTCTGACTTAAATTACTATATGCACCTCAGGAAGCAGATATGTGAGCTTATGGCGTACACTCGCTGTTACATTGCAAGGTATTTAGCCATTGTGTTGAAGTCTTTTCAGTGTTTGGGCAAACATTGCAGTTGGCATCACAAGGGTCAATGCAGCTGTTGCATAGGTCTCGCAGAGGGTTTAACCTTTATTCTTCATTTTTTATGGCCCGTGTTGTTTGACACATGCATAACCTCTCCTGTGTTCCTACCCTCTAACTAATTATATAAAACTGATAATCACTCATTTGGTCAAGAAATTATTTGGCTTTTATGGAACCCAAATGTCCATTGCTACATTCACAACATACTTATACTGTGCTGTATCCTTAGCTAGTTAATTTTAGTCCACAATCTCACAGATCCAAACCAGAAGATGGAGGAAGTATGTTCCTCCAAAACTTTGTTATTCCTACAGATACACATGCCATTACAACCCAGACAAACATCAAGTGAGATAATATTATAGTTTTGTATATTTTAATATCTAAGTTTTCTGATAACAGACAGAAAGGCGAAAGATTTTAAGCTGAATGGTTGCAAGCATTCCCTGAATTTAATCTGCTTTTAATTTCTTTGCTAATGTAAGTTTTATTTCTTACTGTTGTTTCAGAGCATTTTAACACTGACACACTTTTTAGGGGGAAATAATTTCTGTCTGTGTAATGTGAATAATTTTGCAACAAAAGACCACAAATTTGCATTGAGTTGCATGGCTAATTTCATTTGTGGTCTCTAGATTTTGTAGATTTTAAGTATATTGTTTTATGGCTAGTTCAGTTGAAGCTATACAGATCAGTATATTTTTGTGCAGAGTTCTCAGTAATGAGAATAGTGTCTGGTTGCTGGATAATTTGATCCCATCACTTTCTGGCCACCTCTTTGCATTGAGACTCTTGCTACGCAGCCTGAGGGACCTGCCAGATTACATTGTTGCTCATTCAGCAAATTCCCATGGCAACAAGGTAAGAGAAAAAGACTTTTCTTTGCCTGTGATAGTACCTTATTATTATGATAGTAATTAACCCTTCCTCTCGTATGAAGTAAAGTGTTTAAGTGGAGATACAGAGCAAATTTGATGTGATAGGAATTTATAAAATTTGGAAAAAAGTTTGTCGTAGATTTATGGCATGTAAAAGAACCTTACGATCATGAACGAGATGTTTTGTAAGCAAAATTCAGCGGCCATTTCTCACCCAAGTCTCTCCTGATTCATAATTAGATGGCTCTAGGAGACAAAAATCAGGATTGAGTAGAAATTGTGCAGAGGCAGTGGGTTTGTCACTCACTACTCATAAATGCACACTTCAAAGACAAAGAAACCTTCCGCATAGAAAGATGAAAGAAAACTTTCTATAAACTCTCATTCATGGTTGTTTATTTTAAAAAAATTCTGCTGTACTTTTGCATTGATATTGCTTAATAAGATTTTCAGACAGTAAGAAGAAGATCAAATATGTATTACATCATAACTTTATTTCAGTGCTCACAAGCTTCTTACCACCTTTTCCACCTGCATCTTGACCTGCGCTGGTACCACCTTACAATATTGCATCAACTGGTGAAGTGTCGAAGTTTGTACATAATGCTGGATGATTCTCAGCAGAACAGTGAAGATAACAAACTAGTTGACTGGAAAATGCTAGAAGAACAAGTTTTACTTCTGCTGTCAGATCTCGTAGCAGTCGGAATTGACAGGTTTGAAAGGGTGAGGGGATCTTGATTATTGCGGTTGACAGGCATCATGGGGTACACATCAGAAGCGCAGAAGAAGTCTAGAGCTATTACATAGAAAGTGGGCACAGACATTTTTGCGTTTTTGTTTTATATTGAAGATGACAACAAATGACTTATGGCTGGAGAGATGAAAACTTAAAACCATGTCAGTAAGATTTGTTTAATCTTGTTTGTAGTTGAAAATTGGAAACATGATGATCATATGGCAATTTGAGGTTATGTCTGATATTGTGTGAAAGACTAAATCGCATAATTATTGATAAGGAAATAGAACTTGTTTCTCTGTTAAAGCTATAAACATTCTCCCGCGTACATCTGTCCAGTACAGTGATTAGCATAGAAGGACCATGCCACATGTGCTTAAGTATGAAAAAATAATAGTTTTCTGCCATATAATCATAATTTCTGATCTTACAGAAGGTGAGAATCATTTTTACTTGCAGTAATTTAGTCACTTATGTGATTTTCCACTTAGTTGATAAATTTAGAAGGTAAGATTACTGGTGGTAAAAGAACTATAAATTAATTAGAAATATTTAGTATTTACCATCATTGGTTCATTTTAAAATAAACATAAATAGACTGCCGAGGTTTGATCCATGACAGGCAGAGGATTTTTTCCTCTAGCCTCTGGGGCCCATCCAGCCTCCTTTTCAGTGGGTACCAGGGTCCTTTCCTAGTGGTAAAGTGCAGCCAGGGCATGACGCTGACCACTCACCCCCAGCTACTGTCGAGGTTAAGAATGATAAGAGCTATACTTCCTCTCCACAAAAGTGCCTTCTGCATGGCATATAGTGGAACAGCTTTACATTTTTTTTTACTTTTAGAATTTAAAATACAATGTGTGAAGATGTATGAAAATTCTGATGTAAATTTTCTTTTTTAAGTGTCTGGTAGTTCACTTGTATTGATGAATTTTTTAACTTCGCAGCTAAGGGTCAAAATATAGTAATAGACTACATTTTACCATCTTGAAAGATTTGTTGTAATAATTTTAATTTGGGAACACTGGGCGACAGCTGCTGCCGATTTTTCTTTCAGATGGCGCTGAGTGCAACGCTGAAGAAAACTCCTTTCAGTTGTACGTGTGTTAGGGAACTGTGGCTAATGCTTCAATTGTATCTTGGCAGACTCCATCATACGGAACATGGGAAAGTGAGTAATTTGTCTGTCCTGAGTGTTCTTTGTTCTTTTTGGGAAAGGCACGTTTTGTGTTCTATGTCACATGTGTTGATTGAGTTTCTTCATAGTTTTGTTAAGTTTCAGTAGGAACTTTCTGAGGTCTTCTTTGCAAGCTAAAAACAACATCGCCTTTGTAGAGTACTAATATGTTTGGCATATTAATTGACAACATTTCCTTGCATTTGATTTTCCTCAGTCTTTTTGGACATATCTGAACCAAATCTTGAATGTTGTACTGGGGAAGAAACCTCCAAGTGATGTGTCGGCCCAAAACTGTTCTGTACTAAGACTACCAGACACTTATGCATGTTCGGATCGAGTCAGCTTCAGTCTTTGGCTGCTTGTCCATTTAGCGCAGTTGAGTGGCTACACAGAAGAGGGACGCTACGTTGGAACTGGCAGCGGAAGGGTACGTATTAGTCTCGTGAATGATTTAAGGTCTGTGTTAACGAGCTCTGTTATTGATGACCATAATCAAGGCCACCCTACAGGTCTGCAGTCTCATAGTCTTCTGGGTCTCTGGAGAGGATTAACCTCTTTAATCAGGGTACTGCCCTCAGACCTGAGCCTTTTAGGTACCCTAGCCTACGAGTCTGTCAGAATTGTCACAAAGTGGGTTTATCTAGATATATGTAAATGCTTAATCTGTGGTCCAGATGCCTTGCAGGGTTAGTCATGCCTGCTTTATGGAACATGACAGGTGGAGAGCAACTTCCCTCAACTGGAAGCAGTTCTCAAGGTCTGTGTGGCAACGGATAACAATGTGACTGAGCCGCAGCTGAGGGTCATCGTCCGACTGGTGACTATACTTGTAACGGAGTGGTGGGAGGCAAGAAGTGAGCCTGTTATGATTCTGTGGGAGTATTATCATCGTCGGCTCAACAGCGCCTTTTTTGTACCTGGTGCTCTGCCAGACACGATGGCAGTCATGAGGTAAAGCAGCTGTTAATTTATATAAATATCTTGTATCGTGTTGAGGTAACGTGAAAGAAACTGGGGACCCGAAGATAAGGCTGAAATGGGAATTTTTTGCAGTGTCATCTGGTGTGGCTGATGTGTTCCATTTTCTCGTGACCTATTTACGCCTTTCTAGTGGCTTACTTTAATGCTGTTTTGTCTTATATTTTCATAGGTAGTTGTTTTATGATCGTATTTAGTGAATTCTTTGAGCATCTTGAATAACCAGATAATCTTATCTGCTATGTGTGGGTCAGTAAAACAGGTGCAGGATTATTGCAGCAGGTGAAGACTCGGTTGGAAGTTACCGCAGCGCCGGACGAGGACAGTTTCTGTCTTTTCCTACGTTTACTTGGAAAGCACCTCGTTTGCTGTTTGACGCACAACCAGCAGCGGCACTGGCAGCAGATGAAGGGTCGCATCTACTCCAAGTTCCCCTCCACCAAACTTCTTGCCCTTACTGAGTTGGGCCTCTACCATTTTGTTTCTTTGTTTCTTACTTTGGCTGTGACTGTGGATTTGCAGGAAGTGGTAAGTCTGTCTCAAACGTTCAATAACTTTTCTGTTGTTGTAAATAGA